AATGTCGGGGAGCGGGTTTATAGTATAAATTATGGACCTAACTCCTGTGAGTTAGAGATTTAGAGACAAAAACTGAGTTACACCGGTGACGTCCTCTAGCAGATAAAAATATAAATATAAATATAATATAAATAACTAGCTGACCAGGCAAACGTTGTTTTGCTTAAATTTTTTTTTTAAATTAAGTTGACCCGGTTAACTTAACGCCTTCAAATAAAGTCTAGATTGATAATAAAATTCAAGTATTCCATTGTAATGAATTGTTACAGAAATCAATATATTGCATTTTGATAAACAATGTTTTTCGTTTTGTTTTCTGGTGCAAAAATAAACAACGAAGACGGTTTTCCAACACGCGAACTGGCAATGTACAGCTGCCCGTGCGAAAAACATGGAAATTTCAAATTGATCCCACAGACTTCCAACGATTGGCCTTGCGATTTATTGATTGTCATCGCAAAAGTCAATCTAACTGGAAACTGAATCCGCTTAAACTGAAATGAAAGATCTGTTGGAATGGTCGGAATTCGTGGAATAAGGACTTCCTCCCCTTTGAAATTGCCCTTGATGATTGTTGATTGTATTACATTGTTCATCAGTTTCTTGACGGACAATCGTGTACCATTACACAATTTAGGAGGATTTAGATTCCGCAACATAATTATGATGATAAAGGTACTCGAGCTGATGTCGTTAATGCTTGCTTAAAATCTTCCCCTATATGGAACTATGTTGAAAAACTTTATTTGCGAACAAACATGAGAGTTTATTTATGCGGAGGGGACGATATTTTTCCAGCACAGTTGTTGAAAATTGGAAATGGAACTTTAGAAAATGAAAATGGTTATGTAACGGTACAAGATTACAAATAAAATCGTTGCGAAATAATATTATAGAAGCCATAATTCTTACAGGGCCAGCGAAAGGAGAAATTGCATTTATTCCAAGAATTCCCATGATTCCCTGTGACTTGCCTTTTTCTTTCAAACGGCTTCAATTATCGGTTAAAGTTTCTTTTGCCATTACCGTAAACAAAGCGCAAGGACAAACATTCAAGTACGTTGGCGTAGATCTTCGTACAGAGTGCTTTTCACATGGCCAATTATACGTGGCATTTTCTCGAACTGGGGACCCGAATCATCTTATGATTTTAATTTCAACAGGAAATATAACAAAAAACATCAAAAAATTCTTTATCAACCATAAATTATTTCTTTTTTATCTGTATTTATTTTTATCATTTATAACGCTAGAAAAATTTCAATCCGTTTTCATTAACCGTTTTTTTATATTTACTTGCCGATCACATCAAACAATAATATTTGAATAAAAAATTCTAAATATCATTGTCCGAAGGCAAAATAAACAATCAATCACGGGCGAAGCTGTGCCGGGTCGGCTAGGTATAATAATATAAAGTTAGACACCTACTTAAAATTTACTGTTGTAATTGTTTTTCTTCAGATTTTCGATATTGTATAGCTTTTGTTATATCAGTCCGAATCCTAACGAGGTTATCAGCAATATTTTTTCTAATTACAATTGGAAATTCTGTACGTTTAGTGAGTGCAGACATTTTTGAGAATAATTCCTAAACATATGATTTCTGCATTCAATTTTTTCAACTCTTAAACCCGGATCGTAAGGTAGTATTTCATTTAACCTTTTTGTGACACTACTGTCACCGTCACCTAAAACATTTTTTTCTTTCAATATTACTGCTCCAAAAGTCGATGACAAACACACACGCACACACACACAAATAAGCACATCATTTTAAAGCTATTTCGTAAATACAGTTTGTATTCATCACATATACAAATTATATATATATATAAATCTAATATATAAAAATCTCGTGTCACAAAGTTTGTCACCAAACTCTTCCGAAACGGCCGAACCGATTTTCATGAAATCTTTTGTGTATATTAAGTAGGTCTCAGAGAGTGATGTAAACTATTTTTCATACCCCTAGGTGTAAAGGGAGGCTTACCACAAATATTTATAACAACTGTTGGATATCGGTGATGGAAAATAAAAAAATAAAAAATAAAATATAAAAATAATAAACAAAATAAGATACAACAGTTATTGCCAAGGAACTTGGTGTAAAAATATTTTTTAATATTTAACATGTAAATTGTATATTTATATATTATTAGATTAGATTTCATATTTTTTCATAATATTAAACGACCGCGTATTTATCGCATTTATCGAATTCATCAGAAACGACTCGGCCGTTGAATGGGTCGGTCTAACACTATAAGGTTTATTTCTCATTTATAAGAAAGGTTAATAATCACATATATGAACTTTAATTGTATCGATTTGTGTATTTTGTACAATGACAGTAATACGCAATGGGTCTGATTTGGCCCATCGAATGACCAAAAGTACAATCATACGAGATAGAAGAGCACAACCGAATAATGAAAATGTACGTGTGAACTTGGTGTGATTGCGTGAGGCACAAACTGAACAAAATTAAAAAAGACGATTAGAAGCGCGTCAATTCGTAGTTGACACACGCAGAGCAAATGACCAACAACCAGAGGCGGATTTACCTTTTATACGGCTATAGGCACCAAAAATTTACCGCTCCTATAATAGGTGAAAAAGTTACAATAACCCTCCAAAATACCTACTCTAAATATTTAATATATAGACAATAGAAGTGGACATCCATTTTAATTTTTAGACTATTTTTTCGCCATTTTCAATTTACAATATTTTTTATAATAAAAAACTTTATTTTTATATTACAAATTTAAATTTAAAATGCATACAAAATAGATTTACAAAACTTCTAACAGTTCTAACACTAATCTATAATATATCTAAACTTAACTTAACTATTTTAACTTTAAAAGTTGACGTCTTGCCGTTTTATTTGTAAACGATTTTATAATATCTTTATATGGTAATGAAACAAGAAGACTTGACTCAATTGTTAGAATTGCCATGCTGTTAAATCTTTCTTGTTTTATTTGTGAACGCAAGTACGTTTTTATTCGTTTTAAGCATGAAAATGAACGCCCTGTTGAACAGTTTGCTGCTGGTGTACACACAAAAATACGAATTGCTATATCTATGTTTGGATACATTTCGTAAAACCCATATTCATTAAGCCATTTACACAATTGAAGGATTGACATCTTTTCTTTGTTTTTAAGGTGGGCTTGAAGATGAATACATTCATTTAGAAAATCCTCTTCAAGATCTTCCTTATAAACATTTTGTAAATTTTTTGCAAATTCTATAATTTCATCCACACTATACTCTCTTAATTTTCCAAGAAAAGAAAAACGCGAATTAAAAAGGAAATACGCTGCTCGTCTATCTTCTAATTCATTTGTTAAACAATCTAAAATAACTGTATATGTTTTTACTCGAAATTTGTCTCTCCCCTCTAACTCTTGCTCTTGATTACAAGTTTCATCATGGAAAGATTTTCGTACTCTATCTCTTGATTTTTTATATTCTTTTACAACTGATAAAATTTTTGTTTGTTTTCATACTCATTGAATATAATTGGATTTCTTAATAATTTTGTATATTCAATTAATGAATCATAAATATCTACTATGACTGATACATCAATATTAACACTCTGGAGTTATTTACTAGCCTTGTTTAAACGGTCAAGAAGGCAACCCCATAACACTGTCATAAACGCCGTTTCCAAGCTATCCAGTTTGTTAAGTATACTACGAGCTTCATTTATCGTGGTTGCCTTTTCTGTTAAATTGTTTGTTATTGATATCAGTGCATTACGTATTTCATTCCAAGAACTATTCAGACTTTTACATGCATCATCATGACCATCTTGTGTTTGATAATGTTTTCACTGTTTTTGACTCGGGATTATTTTTTAATTGGGTTTTCATTATTTCCCATCGATTCGCGGATGATGAAAAAAAATTGTATACTGTTTGAAGAAGGGAAAAATATGTCAACGTATCATCACAACTATCAGCTGCACAAGATCCTACTAAATTCAGCGAGTGGGCGGAACAAGGTACATATTCAATTAAAGGATTTAACTCTTTAATCCTTGCCTGTAGTCCTGAATATATTCCTGACATGTTTCGGGCATTGTCATAGGACTGACCTCGGCAATTTTCTATTTCTATTTCGTAAGAATTAAGAAGCTTTGTAACTGAATCAAATAACTTAATAGCTTTATGACCAGTGTTTGGAAGAAATTGAAGAAATCGTTCTATTGGCACGCCATTTCTTGAACATAACGAATAACGAAGGATAGTTGGTCTACGTGTGAAATATCGGGACTACTATCTACTATTATCGAATAATACTTAACTGTTTTTATTTCGTCAATAATTTTTTACCTGATTTTATCAGCCATTAACTGAATAATTTCTTCGTATATGGTAGACGATAAATAATTCGTGTGACCATCGCACTGGCCAAATTTTCCAATGTGTTTAGCAAGAAATGGATCAAACTCAGAGATAAGTTCCATAGCCATTAAATAATTACCATTCTGAGTTGACCCAAATTTTTCGTTGTGACCTCTAAGGGGAACCTCTAAAGCTTTAACTGTAGTAACTACCCGTCTCAATACATTTTCCCAATAATTAATATGTTCATCTCACTGTTTTGTTAAACTAACGTTTATTGTTCCTAATCAAATTCGATTTATGTTTGGTGGAATTTTCATGTTGGCTTACTCTACTTTGTGCATTTTTCCAATCATTAAAACCATCTTTTGAAAATTGTGAATAATTATCTCTATCAAATAAAAGACAAGGTCCACAAAACACACATCCTTTTTTTTCTGAATAAACTAACCATGTTCGTAAACATTTTTCACCATTTAGTAATTTTATTTCGAATAATGAAATTGTTAAATATCTATTAACATCATTGTAATGTCTTTTACTGTTTAAAAAGTTCAAATTTTTATTTTGGTTAAAGCCGTGCATTACAATATAATCACAAGTAGTGTTATGAATTATCCAATCTATTGGGTCTTTTGGAACACAAAAAGTAGTTTTGGATAAAGTACTAGTATTATTATTGTTGCTTAGAAGTATATTTTCAGAATCATCAATTATTTTAATATTTTCTGTTTCTGGAGGTTTATTATTTAAGCCATTATCAATTATTTTAATATTTTCAACAAAACTAGAATCTGAGTCGACAATTATTTGATTACTTGTATTTGTAGTATTAATAGTATTATCAATACTTTTAGATATAAAAAAAGAATTTATTTTCATTGATCTTTTAATAACTTCCTGTTCTTTTCTATTTTTTTCTTTAGAACGTTTTCCATATTCAGAACCATTCAACCTTTTTCTTCCATCACTCATTATAACTTAAATTTAAATACCTACACAAAATGATAATTATATAAGAAAACCATTTAATTTAACAACCTTACTAGTTACTATCCTTGGTACTGTTGCGTCCCTTATGTCAACGTCGATTCATATATCAACGTAGAAATAGAAATACTAATGTTTGCAAGTTAAAAGATTAAGTCTTTATTTAATACAATTAACTCGTACAAGAATACAATTTTATAAGCACAAGATGGAGTGAGTGGTGTTACGATCTGCCTCTGAACGTCTCGAATATCCCTAACCGTCTGCTGAGCTCTTGCCCCGGTCTCCCTTATATATGGTTAACCGTCAAGAGTGGTGACTGGGGAGGTGGCGACTTCTGATGACCTAAAGGAGCTCTCTAAATTAAATGTATTATTCAGTTGGGTGCCTTTCCTGCGATTTCATCGATTCTAAGAAATCCAAGACGTGTGATATAGTCTTAATTGTTTTATTAAATAACACGATATGCAGGTGTTCGCCATAGCCGTTCGATACTACACTGTTTGAATATGTTATTCCATCGGTATACGCATCACCTCTCCGTATAATATGTGTTGAAATAACACGGTACGTAATAGTACAATTTAAAATATTTTTTAGTACTTATCAGTTGCTTAGGAACTTTCTAGTTTCTTGTAGATTTGTAAAATACACGCAGTACGGACACACGACACGCGACTCGATGTTTCAAACACAGATTGCGAAATAATATTGTAATGTATGACACCATGTCAAAACATTGTTTAGGGTAGTAGGTAAAGAAACATATTTAATTTATAACGGTTGAAACTTTATTTAAACAAAACATGAAAACGTGAAACATAATGATGCTATTTTCAAAGCAATGAGCACAAGGAAAGAATAAATCATAGTATATCTAAGATATACATAATAATTAATTACATAAGATAATGGACATAGTACATTGAATA